GAAATATACAAAAATTCAAGTGTTGCACTTCAATTGGACGTTACTGTATGTATACGTTATTACCGTTGAACACGTTAAGTATATTTAAATGATAATTTCAGTAGTACAAAAGATATCACTAATTCGAGATAACGCTAAGTTTTATACTTAACATAATGAATGACATTTTCAGTAAAATTACATTATCATGAGAATACTGTGATAATTACCTATTCCCTACAGAATTCTCAACGGATGATGCAATGAATAATTCTACTCCATTATGATTTCCGTATATAAATGCACATCTTATATTCATAATGTAGTACATAGAAAGATGTATACACTTCTAATTTTTTTCTACACAACTTTAGGTATCCATTTTTATTTCTCTATCAAAATTCGTATCACCTACAAAGTCACGATTCGTTCCTGGTAAAAAGTCGATATCATATCAAATTTCTATAAGCTCCAAGAATCAAATATTGCACAAGCACACTCAAACACTCAATATCACGAGTCATAACGTATAGATTCAAAAGACCTTAGACACGTAGGACCACGTAACGTTCTTACTTCGAGTCTCTTATCTAATCCTACACCAAAAAATTTACCAGCAGATGGACGGATTCCGCAACTGCGTCAATATTTGCTGATAACCAATGACATTCGACATTGACAATATTACAAGAAATGTATAATTTTCCTTGACTCGCCACAGGCTACGAGAACGTCTCAGTATATGGAGAAATTGCAAAACCTGAAGTACAGCACTTCATTTGCGTCGATGGATCCAGAATATCACTTAGCGACGTATGCAATGGAAAACCGGAATGCCCAGATTCTTCGGACGAACTTAGAAAGCTGTGCCAGCACGTTGTGTAAGAGACAAAGATTAGTATTTTCTTTTAAATTTACCAAAGTCAAAGTATCTTTTCAGGTGTCCAACTTCTATGTATCGCTGTGCCTACGGTGCTTGCGTTTCCCGAGATTCCAGGTGCGATGGTCTTCAGGATTGTACTGATGGCAGCGACGAGCTCCATTGCCAAGTAACTGAAATTTGCTCGGATCGTGAATTTCAGTGTGTCAATTCTACCGAGTGCATTAGTCTGTCAAAAATCTGCAATGGTAAGATGATTGCATCGCAAGTATCCTGACACTAACTTCACTTATTCATTGACCCGATTTAACAACAGGATATCCAGACTGTTTGGATAGTAGCGATGAAAGCAGTATACTGTGTAACGAATATCCTTGTCCTATGCACACGTATCATTGCCTCTATGGAGGATGCGTACACCAGGAAGTAATATGTGATGGTATCAAGGATTGCATTGATGGCTCGGATGAGAATGATGCAGTGTGTGCAGCAATCAACTGTGTGGGAGATGAGTGTCAAAATTATAAATGCAGGTTAGAATAATAGACAATCACATATACTTAATAGGTCTGTTCTCGTTACCTAGGCTATCTGCATTTTTCAAAAAGTGCAATTTCTTATTGGATAATATTTCTAAGTAACCAATGAGAATCTACACTTTTTTAAAAGTGCAGACAGTGTAGGTAACGAGAACAGACCTATTGATTGAAATCAAAATTTGGTAAAAAATTATTTTAAATTACAGAGACGGAGAATTCAGCTGTGACAGCCAAGGACAGTGTTTACCAGAAAGTAAAGTTTGCGATGGAGTCCATCAGTGTAGAGACGGTTCTGATGAGAATTCGAAAATGTGCAAGTCGCGGGAGTAAGTACAAATTTTGTTTATTTTTTTCTCTACAATTATATTAATTAAAATGTACACAAGTTGTCCGCAGGATTGGTTCAGATGTGCGTACGGTGGATGCATTTCGAAGAATCTTACGTGCAATCTACAGCCCAACTGTTATGACTGGAGCGACGAAGAGGAGACAATCTGCGGCGTGTCTTTACCAGAGGGAGCTTGTCGTTTACCTCCAGCCCAACCAGGAACACATTATACCGTTGTAAATTGTCCCGAGTGTCGACCTGGTGACGTTGTGGCAGAACTGACACGATTGGACTATACGTGTGACGTGGAGGGTTCGTTGGAAGGTTCTAGTAGCATTTATTGTCAAGATAATACGTGGCTTCCATCCGTCCCTACTTGTCCCACAGGTATAATATTTTTTAGAATATTTTTGTGATCTAGATCTAATTATATCTTTATCGCAAGGTACCGACACGATAACGTGTCCCCCGGTGGAATCGGGGGGTGTAATTAAACGCTGTGAAGCAAAGTGGGGACCTCATCAAGGTTGGATCTCGTGTGAGTCACCGGTTCCAGTTGGTACGCAAGTCACTTTAGAATGTCCAGCTTATTACGAACGCGTGAAGGGCGTTACTAGGGTCACGTGTCTTCACGATGGTACCTGGAGCCAGTTGCCATTGAGCTGTAATCCAATTTGCGGAAGAAGAGAATCTTCAGGTTTCAGTTGTAATTGAGATAAAGTATGACTAAATTATTTTCTCTCTAATAGTTAATATTATTTTAGTTGCTGCGTTGATAGTCAAAGGCTGGGAAGTAGTACCTGATGAATCTTTACCATGGCATGCTACATTATTTTCTCACGATGATGGGAAATGGGACTTCTTCTGCGGCGGTACTCTGATAGCAGAGCGCGTTGTACTTACTGCTGGTCATTGCGTATGGAAGACGTCAGTGGATACCATTAAAGTAGCTTTAGCTGCTTATTCGAGTAATTTCAGTAATCTAGGAGGAGATGCTCAAATTCTGAACGTGGAAAGGATTGAGGTACAGGATTCGTATCAGGATCACGAAGGAAATTATGGCTCGGACTTAGCGCTATTGATTCTCAATAAACCACCTGTTATCAACTCCGTTATTAGTCCGGCCTGTATAGACTGGATAAACACGCAGGATGTATCTCAGAGAATTGGTGACATTGGATTAGTTACTGGTAATAAATTATATTTATACTTATTTGATAACAGCATTAATAAAAAGTACTATTAACGCAGGCATGGGAGTTACGGAGAACGACACGTATAGTTCCATTTTGAGAGTAACGACAGTTCAATTAGTCTCCGATGAGATGTGTCGTGAGAAGCAAAAAAGAGATTTTCGAAAATACTTGACCTACACTTCCTTTTGTGCTGGTTGGGGCAATGGAACTAGTGTTTGTAATGGAGACAGTGGAGGTGGTTTAGTTTTGCAAAAGCCAAATTCAACATTTTGGGAAGTTCATGGTGTAGTGTCTATCAGTCCTCGTCGACCTGGAACAAGTTTTTGTGATCCGATGTTTTATACAGTTTTTACAAAGGTAACGCCAATTTTTATATCGCACGGGAAACTTTGACAATTGAATAATACACAATGATATTGTACAATTACAGGTTTCAGTATACCGTACGTGGATCAAGCAAATCTTAAACACAGTTGCAATCGTTGGACCACCCGATATGAAGCTGAAACCAAATACGGATATCGTGAACATGGATTCAGTAGTTTGATTGATATTAATAAATAAGTTCAAACTAAACAGATCGTCTCTTATTTATTTAATATCAACAAATAAAACACTTATTGCGTAATATCTATACAATTTTATTACTTTCTTGCAAAAAGACCTTGAAGAGTTTATTAATGTCTAATAATGTCAGTAATTCACACTAGTTCGACAAAATCAGGACACAGGAAGAGCACTGACTTGGGTGTAAAAAACCAGATATCTCTGTTTTATATTTGTTAAAAATTTTCATAGGTTAAGTGTCTCTTTGTATTAAAGGGGTTATCGCGAGATAATGAAGGCGTAAGAAGTTCAGTGATAATTGTACAAGAAGGCTCGGACGTTCAAAATGTTCCAGAATCCATCGAAATTCTAGAATTCACGGGTCACGATAATATTAGCATAACACCAAGTTACATGGAGTTCAGAGATGCCAGTGAAGGAACCACATATCGCCAATTAATGATTATTCAAAATACAGGCAACAAGCCAGCTCTTATTAGAATCTGCGCACCAAATTCTATAGTGAGTTTACCTTTATTCTCCACCGTTGCCATAATCCCGAGCCCCATAAACTCCTTTTGCAGGCTTTTAAAATTCGGACTCTAGAAAGCGGAGTACTGCTGAGTCCTGGTTTAACTATTTCAAGACAGGTCGAATATTCTTA